CAAGAAATCAAATAAGAACCGTCTCATAGTATAATATGCAAGTTGCTCCAAATGCAGACAAGGGGAAATCCAGGTCTTGTTCGCATAAGCCTGCCTGGTATTAGCGTTTAATGCCATTTTCTGGTTCTTGTGTTTTGTTTTTCCTTTAAATGTAACATCCCTTCCCAGGGTAGAAAGGAATTATCCCATCCTTTGATAAACTGTGAGGACTTCATGACCCACAATAATAGATTTAAAATCTAACAATATTCTAGAAGCCAATAAGTGAGCTGGGATGGACTGATTACCATTTTCTTTTGGCTTTTTTGTAATTATCACTATTAATTTTAAAATTAGGCTCATGAATTACTAACTGAAACAAAATTATAAAAATGAACATACATTAAGATCATGTTTTAAATAATTCATCTATAATTACCATATCACTTCTGATATAAAATGAGTATTCTGTATCATATGCTGACTTGAAATTTATTTTATATTTTTCTCAATCAACCTAAAAGTTAAAGATCACTCATTGTTACTAATATTAAAACACACACACACACACACACACACAAAACAAGATGACAATGGTGATTTTTTAACATGGACCAAAAAAATGACATAAAGTAAGCCATGCATATCACAAAACACCATGTAAGCTATATTATAGGAGAGCTGTAAACTTCAGGCTAGGAAAATCTGCAGTAGGGTTTGGCTTCCCTATATTGGGGAGCATTAAGGTTAAATTAGTGAAAAAGGCAGTTTTGCTCTGCCCATCAAAGTGGAAAAACATTTACACAAGAGAAGGTAAAGGGCAGGGTGTTTCCAGCCAGAGAAGTGGTGGGACCAAAGTCATGGAGGTAGAAGGCTATGGGGCATGGCTGGACAGAGGCAGGGGGTCTCATTCTGAGGGATTATTTCATAGACAGAGACAGATTAAGACAAGATTTGTACTAAAGGATACGAAGCTTATTTAGTAGGTAATTGAGAGCCTCTAAGCATTTTTCTTCTTTATAACTTGTATGAATTTGTGTATTTTGATCAGTTTCGCTTTTATTTCCCCTCTCTCCATTAGAGTACAGACAGATAATTTATTATTCCTAGTTAACTTTATAATTTGGTCCATATGCTGCAGAGTATTCAAGCTTGATTATGAGCAACAAGAGAACTGGCCATCATGCAGGCCTGGATGATGTGGAGATGAGATATGAGAGCATAACCTAGGGGACCCTGAAGCATGGGCTTGGTCAAGGGTATGCTTCCAACTAGCAATTTTAATTCTGATGTAGTGACACAGGGACTGTTAGAGATCATTCAGAGTGATGACAGGGGAGTAGATAGACCAGTTTCCAAAGCAAGTATTCAAAGACTGTGGAATTAGCCAGTTTTACCCTCTGATGTACTTCATCTCACTTGCTTCCCACTCATTTTTCTGAGTTAGATTCTCAGCATTCCATTTAATTTTTGGAACTATCCAAAATCCTTTCAACAAACTTAGTTTCGACTTAAGTTAGCTCAAGTCAGATTCTGTTGCTTGAAAAAAAAATTTTGTTATTGTGTTGAATAAGAAAGATGCCAGATCTACTTTTCTGGAACTTACTCTATCATAGGTCCTAGAAGATGAATTTGGTAGTTCTTTACATGTCAGTAAATTAGATAAATCAGTTATGAAGCCATTACAGAGATATGGATGAGTAATAAGGATGCCTTGAACTAGAGTTTGAGCAGTAAAATGGAAGCAAGGGGGGGAAAAAGAAGGCAAAACCTATAGAATGTGTTGCCTGAGGTGTGTTTAGACTAAGGTAATGGGGGGGGGGGGTTAAAAAAAAACAAAACAAAAACAAAAAAACTTCTAAACTTCTATTCATAACTGCCCTTCCAATCCAAATCCAGGACAGCACACAGTAGATTCTCAACTAACACTGGATGAATGAAGGGCAGGCCTGCTCAAGTTCACCAATACACTGAAGAGTGATGAGCCTTCTCTAACTGCATTGACACCTCTGTTCTCACCTGTCTGCCCTTACACTTGTACCCCCTTACCTGTCCCCGCCTCCTTCTCTCTGGACTCACTCCCTTTCTCTGTCATTCTCTATGCATTCCTTTCACTTTCCTGATCCTCTTGTACAAATCTAGCCCTGCCTGATCATAAAATGGCAGATTTGGAAGGGACTTAGGAGATCGTCTACTTCATTTCCCTGATGATGAAACATGGTCTAAGGAGTTAAAATGATTTTCTCAGAATTATACAGTGATTTAGTGAGACAGTCATGATTTAGACTTGTGTCTCCACAATTTTAGTCCAGCTGTCACCTCTCCACCACTCAGTACATATTTACTCCAAATGTCACATAACACTTTACGTCACCTCTCCCCAGATCTTCAAGTGAATCCAGTGGAGTTGTAACCAAGTTATTTGGTGGTATTGCATGCTCCCTGGCATGTCACTATGGGGGTCCTGATACTCCCATTGGAGAAACATTGGTTTAATTGATGATTTTCTAAAAATGTCTGCCTGAATCAACCATGAAGCATTGCTGTACAAACTACACCTAGAGATTCTGGATTTTGGATGGGAGTTTGGTTGGAGGCACTTTTACAGAAACTTACAGAAAGAAGACATGGTTTAATGCCAGAGGTCTTATTGTTTGTTTTTTAACTGTCCTCAAAAGTAGAATCTGTTCCATAACACAGTGGGCAAGAACCTTCTTATACTTAAGCAAATGTTAGCAACTCTGCTCACATAATCAGTTACAATTGTTATTATGATTATTTAGAATAATAGTAACTTTTCAGCCCAAATTTCCTAGTCCTTGTGTTAAGCTCTGGAGATGACATAGACAAGCTCCTCTTGCTCTTGAGGAGCTCAAAATTAGTGGGAAGTGATGTATAAATGCGTGTAAGTGTATTGTATGTGTATATATGTATGTATACACATATGTATGTATGTTTGCTTGCATGTGTGTGAGAAGAGCTAAGAATAAGTAGGGGAAGGAAAGAAACAGAAGATATAGGACAGAGAAGACTTTGATGGAACAGTGACTGGAAGGAACTAAGAAAGGAAATGACCAAGAACATTTGCTCTTGGAAAGACTGAGGGTTTTCCCTGAGACAAATAGTGACAAAAAAGGTGTTTGGTTGTGGATATAGGCACATTTAGAGGTGGAAAAAAAAAAAGGTTAAGGGAGTTTGTTACAAAAGGGGGTTATTTTCTATTCAAAGGATATAAGAACATTGGCAGAGTGAGGAAATTTCAAGGGAATAGCTGGGAGATTTGAGGACTGTTGTAGAAAAGCAGTGCCAGGGAATGGGAAATAGATGTGTGTAGGACCCTTGACCACCAGCTAAGGTGATAAACCAAAACTTTTAGTGGTCCCAATGAGCATGACCAGCAGCAGCCTGGAAAATACAAATGGTTATAGTAACCCAATTTCAAAGACTGATAAGGCCATTATGACTGAACATGACCTGGATATTGTATTTATTCTAGAGTCTGATAAATAAATGTGCTAATACATACAATGCCTGGCACATAATTAGAACCCAAATTTATCTTTAAAAAATTGGACATAGGGGCACTTGGGTGGCTCAGATGGTTAAGCGTCTGCCTTCAGCTCAGGTCATGATCCCAGGGCCCTGGGATCCAGCCCTGCGTCAGGCTCCCTGCTCAGCAAGGAGTCTGCTTCTCCCTCTCCCTCTGAACCCCTTCCCCTGTTAGTGCTCTCTCTCTCTCTCAAATGAATAAATAAAAAATCTTTTAAACAATTAATAAAAAATAAAAAAATTGGACATAAAATAATTCAAAGTACTGATTGAGAATGGAATTGAGATGTTAGATCATTAGATCTGGGATTATTAGGAAAAAAGTATAAAGAAGCTATTTTATAGAAGAAAGCAGGAAGCACTGAGAATGTAGAATTGTATTTTTTTTCTTGTTAATTATGTTTGAAAACAGGTTTAGGAGGAGTAATCAGGAAGTAGAGGATATAATGATCAGATGAAACTTTCAACCCTAAAATTTCAGACAGGATGATAAGATCCAGGATGTAAGTGTGGGAGTTGGTTATGGAGGAAGAATATTTATGAAGGTAACTAGAATTGAAAAGGTTAACCTTTTATATAGGCTGAGTGACCTGGAAGTTGAAATTGCCCAGGACTTAGGATCCAGAAAAAAAACATTGGAAGGATAAGAACCCAGATGTGTGGCCTTAAAAAGAAGAAAATTAAAAAATTTTTTTTTTAATTTCTATTTTTTTAAGTAATCTCTACACTTAATGTGGGGCTTGAATTTACAGCACTGAGATCAAGAGTCACATACTCTACAGACTGAGCCAGCCAGGCGCCCCCAAAAGAAGAAACTTTTAAATAACTCTATAAAAATAAAATTCTGAATGAGGCATAGAGTAGCCAGAAAGACAATGACCCTATTATTTAACATTGAAAATCTGAAGACTTTATAAAGAACAAACGGCCACTTAAGCAGAAGCATCGTAAATAGGAGAAATTCAGATTTCAGTTAAGGGAATGATTTCTTACAAAAACCGTTATTGACAAGACTCTTGTTTTGACTATGAATTCTAGATTGTACAGTAGAAACAGTGAGGAGAAGGGAAATGGTCCAGGGAATGGGGGAAAGCTAATTTGGATGGAAAAGATACTTTGGAAGATGATAGGTGACCAGAAGAATCCTTATGTAGTTCTTGTGAACCTTTAGAAATAAAGAAAGTAGATAATAATGCTCTTCTAATGAAACTAACTTTCCCCTATGTCTCTTTAGGACTGTAATCAAAGTAATTTGATTGCCTAGAGGGCATGAAAACTTGATGGCTAAGCTCATGGGCAGAAAAACTTTACCTCCTACAACATTACCTCCTACAACATATACTGATCTTCTTTCAATGTATGAATAGTACTGGACCTGGAAACAAATGTTATTCAGCAGGAATTCCCAGTTCTTCTATATTTGGATAGTAAAACAATCCTTATACACCCCATCTACTAAAGAAATCGCTTACCTCCAGAGACACATTCTGGGGTAAAAGTGATGTCATCAAGGGCAATAAAGATTTCCTCATTTCCAGCCAAATCAGCTTCAAATGCCACTTTAAATGCACTGTAACTGGAGAGAGGGACATGCCCATACATCCAACCAGTTCTTTTGCTTCCAATCACTGACCACACGAGGATGTTTAGTCCAGATTCCTCAATGGTATATACCTAATAATGGGGGCAAAAAAAGAAAAAGCAACTCTTTATGGTTTGGATGTTAGAGATATATGGACGTCCTGGTTGTTAACAGAAGAATGGAGTCTGGCAATGGGACAGCACGACACCTTGACTATAATACTTTCTATCTCACAAACTGGGGTTACAGAGCGAGTTATATTTTCTTTAAGTAGTCAGACCTTTGTTTGGTTTTGTCATGTCAATTTCTGTGTATCACAGTGGGCATGGCCAAAACCTGTAACTATCTTAAGAATCTAAAAGAGCTGGAAGGAGCTATAAAACTAGAATTTCTCATTGCTAAAGGACTTTGTCCATGTTTCCCCAAGGTTGTTTTAAAAGAAGAGAACACTTATCTTAAGTGAACATGATCATATACAAGTCATTTCAGAAGCCAAAGTAATGTGCATAACATATTTAGTATTTTGACAAACAGAGAATCTTCCTGAATTAACTAACTAACATCAATACCCAGGACTTTTTAAATGCAAGGACTAACAGACTGATCACATAAAAAGTGAAATAGCAATAAAGTTAGCTTTGAAACCAACCACCAGGCCAAGTTCCAATAATCTTTTTGAACAGTAAAAAACAATTCAAAACAAAAAATGCCATTTCCTAGTGCTCTTCAAAAACAACAACAAAAACAGGCAAGGCAGTAAACATATTTTTCTATACTACCTTTCTGTACCTAACTTTCAGTTATCATTTCCCTAGAAATGATAATTATATTTTATATATATGTATATATATATGTATATATAAATGCATGTTAGCAATCACTTACACAACTCTTTCTTTTACATGGGAAAAAATATGACTCAGAAAAAAGAAAACACATAATAATAATTTTCTTCTATTGCAACAGTGTTTTTGTCCAATAATATTGCTCCCTACTAAAAAAATCCTACTTTCTCACTTTTTTTCCTTAGTATCAAAATTTATCTAAAGATAATTTATCCTACAAAAGTTTATCTAAATTTTATACTATCAGGAGAAAATAACACCACTCATTCTGTTGCATGTAATGATACGATATTGTATGGCATTCCAGAAATACTCCCAAGAGCCACCAAATTATCTAGAGCCAGAAATTAGCATGCTGCTAATGTTACTATTACAAAAAGTCTAAGTCAGAAATCCAGCTATTAATGGAAGTTAAAAAAAATTTAAAAAACCATCAAGATGTCATACAGAAAAAAAAATAGAAAAACTTGCCCCAAATTTGGAAACCTGAAAAGTGAGATTTAACATCAACAGTATGGAAAAGCACACATTTCCTAAGCAAAAAGCAGTTTTTATATTGATTCCTCAATAAATGAAATAAACTAAAAGTCAGTATGAAGGGAATCTGGGTCAACCGAGTGTTTCCAGTCTCACACATAAGCAAACACTCATCCCAAAGCTCTAAGATCTGGTCGGTACCTATTTCTCAAATAAACACAAATTTCCTCCATTTTAAAAAAATTAAAAAGGTAAGAAGGTTCCAATTCAATATGATAACAGGACAACTTTATAAAGTCAACCTAAGTTGAATTATCTTTTGTTTTTCTTCATAAATCCTGAGTTACAACATAAAGATTTAAAAGGGGATGGCTTTATTTTATTTTATAACTCTTTTTCTGGAAAAAACAATTCAGAAAACCAAATTACATGAAAACACAACCCAACATGTTTTGCTTTTTTCAAAACCCTAGTATAAATGTATTTTATTAATATATCTATTTTTATTGTTTTTCATTTCATTTTTCTTTCAGTCATCTTAATCTTCAATTAATCGTACATGCTCTTGCCAAATTCCATTTCCCTCATTCTTTTACTCTGCTTCTCCTAAATCCACCGTGACATCCCCTGCCTGTTCTCCCACCCCCATGCCCCATCATGAGCATTAACTCTCTAATAGACTTCAACCAATGGTACCCAATATTTTACCCTACTATAGTCCTTATTCATTCTGATAAACTTCACTATTTCACTACTTGATTCCAATGAAACTTTCTGACAATCTCATGGATTGTTTCAATTGTAACATGTATTTATAATACTCCCAATGCATTAAACTGAATAAATTGCATGCTATGTCCAGTGTTTCTGTAGCCATAATGGCCAATGGTAAAAATAGGAGGATCATTTAAGGGCTCCATATAATGCTGTTTTTTTTTTTTTTTATGGCAAATGAGAAACCTAAAAAAGGCTAATATTATTTATTTTTGTCTTTCAATGAAAACAATATTCATTGTCTTCAGAGAAATTTTTGTGATAACTGTCAGCAAAATATTTTTCTTTTTTATTATTATTTTCCAAAAATCTATTACTTTGAAAAAGTAAAATGGCTAATAACCTTGAAAAATAATTTAGTTTAATTTGTTCCTAATTTTATATTTTATTACACACATTTTACTGAAAACTTATTTATGTTACAATAATAACTTCTTATTTGAAATAGCTTCTAAAATCAGCTGCTGGACAAATAATTTGGTTACTTCTGATCTTCTAAATTTTGGTCAGACATATAGCCATTAATATAATAATAGTCAATATTATATATTATAAAACAATCATTTTATCATGACTTTTATCATAAAACAATATGGATTCAAAGAATACATAAATAAAAATATTATGTTTAGATATTAAATCAATGTTATATTATATTCAAGGATGATACTATAATTGTAACTGCTTATGATATAGGGTAGGGAAAACTTGAAGAAAACTTCATAGATAGAATAAAATGATATGTCATTTAAATACAAATATTATAATAACATTCAATTAAATATATGTTAAGTTTTTTTGAGGAGGAAACTCCTCAACATTTATTTGGAGTGAGCATACATTTGAAAGAAAACATTCAACAAAAGATATGATGAGATAATAGAAAATATGAGTTAATGATTAAATTACAGAATAGTATGGAAACCAGACAGCAGCTATCTCAACAATACCCAAGTATGCAGGTTTTCCTGGTGAAGAACTAAAAGAACCCGATTAGTACACTTTCCTGAAATGCCTCTCCTGCAGCGAGTCACAATCTCCAAGTGCCTGCAACATGGAAGGTAGGCTGGCAGTGACTTAGAGTCTCCTAATGGACACTTCCAGATATCAGAAACACTTTATCCATTTCACTATTATTTAGCTTATTGAAATTTGTGCATGCAATGCAGTGCCAAGACAAAACCTTGGCTTTACTTGGTCCCAGTTACTCTCAGCTATTCTGCTAGATGTCTGTTCTTTAATCACCACTGATAGGGTAAAGCAAAGAACCGAGCTACACTTAATCCTTGTCAGTGTACAGTTTCTCATGGCTTCATTTGAAAACACTCAAATTTATATAATAGAAGAAAGAAAAAAATCAAAAGTAATGAAAAGGGCAATTTCTTTCAAAAAGAGTTTATAGGCATTAAACTTATTTAATAAAAGAGAAATAACATTATCCATATATTTGAAAATTTAGCACACTCACATATGTTACATGAACCCTACCGCATGTGTGAACGTAGGGTAGGACTACTGACTGCCCTCTACAAATCTGGAATTAGAGTTGTAGAGAGAAATTAAACAATCCATTACTTATACACAGCACAGGCTTCCAGTCCTCAATATGGCATATAAAAGAGATTAGAAATCGTCCTACTGGTCCTAACAACAAGAAAAAAGCTGAGTTGAAAATCAATAACTTCTTAGATCCATCAGACAATTGATGTCACAGAACCATCAGGACCACTGCCTCCAAAATTGAGGAGAATAATAGGTGGACACAAAGAATCACAGCTTACTGGAGCAGAAGCCCAAGGACAGAAATTCCTGTAGGAACCAGTAGCAGGGTAGAAAAACCTGGAATGAAACTGATGAAAGGCTGAAGGCCTACTGTAGACAAGTTTCAATGTTAAACATCCTTGAGGGGACTCTACACTTTTGTGAGTTTGACCTCTCAGAGCCCCACCAGTTTCTCATGTTGAAAATTAGAGAAAAATTCCCTCAAAATTTTGGCAAATAAAGGGAAAAGTAGCCATTTTGAAATATACCCAAAGCATTCTGTTCTTCTTAGCAAGACCTGCCCTCAAAACAAACTATTTAAAGAGACTGTAACTGACTGGGGTTTAACAAAACTAGAGAAAGGAAAATACCTAACTCCAGCTCCTAGTAGCATTCAAGGTGGGGAAAGGGAAAGAAGCAATTCCAGCAACTTCTAGCCTTCCTGTCTTACCTCAGGAGTGGAAAGATAAACAAACAAGAAAACAAACAGACAAAAAACCCCAAAAAACCTGAGAGGTAATTATGAAGGATACAACCCAGTGGCACTAAAAGACTCACTGAGACCTAATCATAGGCCCCACAACTTACCAGCACATGAGTAGGGCTTCTGTGTATGAACAGGGGAATACAAGGAAATAATAGCACATTGCAGGCCTTATTTAGAAATAAATCTCTCTGGAAACCCAAAGGTAACAGTGAAGACAAAAATAAGGACAACAGGGAAATTATAACTGATATCTACAGTTACAGCAAAGAGTAAACATATCCTAACCTTTAGCCAGATACATATAAAACCTCACACTAAAGGCCTAATTCCTTTCACCCAGTACATCACGTCGGTCTGTCAAAAAAGACAAAAAACACAACTTAAAGAGACACAGCAAGCATCAGAACCTGGTTTAGATATGGTAGAAATGTTGGAATTATCAAGAAGGGAATTAATATAGGTATAATTAATAAGGTAAGGGCTCTAATGGAAAAAGTAGACAGTATGCAAGAAAAGATGGACAGTATAAACAGAGAGTTGGAAACTAAGAAATAATCAAAAGGAAATGCTAGAAATAAATAAAAACACTCTAACAGAAATGAAACACACCTTTGATGGGCTCATCAACAGACTGGACACAGGAGGGGAAAGAATGAGTGAGCTTGAAGATATGTCAATAGAAACTACTAAATCTTAAATGCAAAGAAAAAAAAAAGACTTGAAAAAATGGAACAGAATGTCCAAGAAC